TTTGTAGTTCCGACTTATTTCGTCTTTCATTTGAGTTTATCTTCACATGGTGTTTAGGATCCGGAAGCACCACTTCCAACCGTTTTAGCTAGTCAATCAAATTCCAAGCAAATAAAAGTATTAATTGCTAGTGATTTCCTCTTCTCATATTCGTCCTTTATGGGTTAATCTCCATTCAACCACAGTTCATAGCATTGCATACAAAGCAATACATAGTCATAGACAATCATATAAACTACTGTTTTAAAAGACAATTTTCAGATTCATTGTGCATTCTCTCGAATTCTTAAGAGAATGCATAAATAGATTGCTAATCGATAAATGATGACATTATGATGTACTACAGTCATCTCATAACTATTCACAAAGTCCATGTATTGATGCATATCTCTTGAGTAAACGGATATGAAAATGAAATGCAGCAAATGAATAACTTGAACAGAGAATGTGTAATCAAAGTGATCGTTTCTCAGCATTATCATCCAATGTCCAATACACGTAAATGATTTCATATAAGTGAAACTACTTACTAATAGTAGGTAGTATCACATAAACACATAGAAGGAAATGAAATAAAGGTGAATTCAGTGTTTAAAAGCATTGGTGTAAACATATTTTTTATCAACCAACTTCATTTGGAAACTACTGAATTCCAGAAAGCAAGTAAGTAATTGTTGTGAAGTGGTGTATCTTGAACTCTAAGTTTTCAGTTCTTTCTAACGTCAAATATCACAATCAGCGGGATGTCATCGTTCATCGGTCAAATTTTTCCGCGTTTCACCTGTTCTGTTGCAAATTTGAGATATTTTCTACTTGACACAGTTTGGATAATCAAGATTTTATCATTCACTTTTATGAAGGAGAACCTACGGCTCAAATAGGAGTATATGCTTTCAAACTTTCAAGCGAAACTCTACGACAGTATTTTGATATGCCCAATACACCGTAGACCTGTTGTAATAACTTACAGTCACTTCCAAACCTTGAATGCTAAATATAAAACAAGAAATATGATAGAATGTATCTACATCGACTGATTTGCACTCACTTTCACAGTAATATTCCCTTTCACTTTGTCATCCAAAAGAGAAAATCATATTCCAGACATCCCGTTCACTAACTATGCTCATTTCTTTATTATTTGTCACCATTTACACTGTAAAGTAACTTCTATCCAGTGTATGAAATGTTTGATAAATTCATTAGCGATATCCAAATGTCCTGACGTGAGTGTCCTTTGTAGCTTCATCTTTTGATCCTTTATGACGTGTTGGTATTTGCGGATCCTGTAGTGTGCATACGTTATCATTAGGTGTACCACTTTTGGACAAACTACTCATATAACACACTCATTACAAAACCGAGTGTCCTTAGTTCGATTCCAGCTTGAGACATCGTGGATACGAATAGCTGGGAATTCATGTATTGGGACGAAATAACCATCCAATGTATAGCAACTCACGTGCAATCGAGTTTGTTCACAATTAATTCGATTAAGTCATTTTGTTAACTTATTGACGAACTGAGTCATCCGTACAACAACAACTTATCTATATCATCGTATCTTTATTATTGTTGCGAATGTATGAACATGTATGCTTGAGCATTGCTTGCTGCCCACGCATTTATTCACGTCTTACTTCTAACCGCTAAATTGATTCGTTCATTTCACTATGTATATATATGTCCATGTTATTCATGTTCATTGCTCCCTCTCTCTCGCTTATCTGTACTCGCTTACTGGTAGTGATATTCGCTGACTCACTCGCTCGCTTGCCAGCTTGACTTTTGGCACAACTCTTTCATGCATGTTTAACGTACCTGTACTTTTGGATATCTGTGTGTGTGGTCCCATAATAAACATAATCAACACTTCATATTCGCCTTCTGATTAATATACCGTTGGGGCGTTATCTCGTGACGGTTATCAAAACGAACTGTATACGATGTTTAAGAATTATATTGAATACCGATCACCACAAATGCTTTCTGGTTTACAAAGCTTGTCACGTTCGGAATTTCAATGAAATTCAACAATCTTCAAAACCTTATACTAAAAAGTTATATAATTGATTGAGAGATATTTCTAGACATGCAGTGAATTATTAAGATTCATGTACAAACGAATAAGCTTGATGCGTATATTAACGACTAGAATATTTATAAGCAAAGATGGATAGTGGCTAGCAGTGGAATCCAGTTGATGTTCACTCTGGGATTTGAACTCAGTGAACATCAACTCTGAGACACAGGTACATCCAGCTGACGAGTCCCAAACAGGATGAAACGCACGTCCTGGATTCCACTGCTAGCCACTATCCGTCTTTGCTTATAATGCTTGTAAATTAAGACAATATCGAGGCATACGCACAATATGCACATATGTCAATAAGAGACTGATCAATTTCAGTCCTAAAACATCAATGGGAAGATTCAAGTAAAACAATACCAAATGGACTAGAATATTTATCTTTATTTTTATGGATAATCTCATGAAAGAATTTAAAAGTTTATCGTGGTAATGTCGAACTTTTAAATTGGTACAACATGGTGTCGATTCGTCCGCCGTAGCGACGAAGTTGAGAAATCAAGTAATAATTAGCATTTGCAGTTTGTTATAGTTCGACCGTGTAAGAATGGGGGCTTGAATATTACTCCTTTATACACAGAGATCATATTTTGAAAGGTAAATCGCTATAGCTTCAGCTGTGCCCAAATATTCATTTTTTATCTTTAAAAGTGTTGAAATATTCCACCTATCAACTATTATCCGTTTGTCAATATTTTGCGGCATCGATCCATTGGGAAATAGAAATTATCATTCATGTCTGTTGAACAGTATACAAGAAAACGGTACTGGGTTGCACATAGGCTGTTGCAATTACTGGGTTGAGTGCATTCTTGTCCCTAACTTATCATAATGTATCAATTTTAAAAAGTCATACAAAATAAAGTCTAATCATTGAGAGTTGTTTGCATGCATGCGAAGCCGAAAGTACCGCGTAGATGCGCACTGCTGAGGAGTACCATACAAAGACGAAACGGCTGTTCCAGGTTTTCAATGGTGTAGTATCCTTTATATAACATGGCGAGTAAGAGCAGGTGTAAATCGTCAATCACAAATCTTAATATACGTGTACATATTATACATCATTGAATAGTATTAAATTAGATGAGTAACACAAAGCACGCCACATTGAAAAATATTAATCCGTTTTCAACAGTTATCAAGGATAATGTGATCCGAAAACTTCCTATACAAAGTCCTTGAGAACATTGAAAATCAACCACCATTATAAATGAAATCGGTTAATCGGCAAATAAATTTTGCACATGAACAGTCAGAAAAACTTGCCAAAGTAATGCCGAACCATTCACAATATCAATGGCAAACCTCGTCTCATATAAGATACTCAACTCTATATAGCAATATAACATATACTGCATAGAACATATATATAGGATAGTAAACGAAATAGACCAGCCTGGAACGTTAGGGCTCAAATCACGCTTAAAACCGATTGTCTGGTATTGGGATACTATTACTAGACCACCAAGATCATTTTTATCTCATTTGTGAAATGATTCTGATAAATCTAATTTACTGATTATCCATTTGAGATTATTAATTCAGTAATAAATAATCATTGATAAATTTTATTTAAATCGAACTTTTTCAGGTGATGTCTATCCGTTTCATCCAACCGGTATTTCAAGTATGTGTTCACCGGGACTTCGCTGCTTAACATTGTTGATTCGACATATGACCATGAAATGTAGGCTTCAAAAGTAAGAAGCACTTATAGGTTACCAGAACTTCATCAGAAGTATCTTTATAACACTTCGACCATTGAGCGAGTAATTTTGTAGTTGGAAGCAGGATACTATGTTAGAATGATTAATTGGTCTATGAACATTCACCGACTGACGTGGTTGAGACAGGTAGTAAGTATACGCAGTGAACGCGTCTGGATGAGCGACCTTGACCGTTATAACCATAAGTTAGAAGAAAACTATGAGAAGCTAAAATAAGATACAGCATCAGTTCTTGGAGTCATTGATCGTTGGTATGTATAAACTAGCCGGTTGTAATCCGCGTGATAACCGCAAACAATGGTTGCAGAAATAAGACATGACTGAAAAATGGTCACAATAGTCCGTATATATTTATTCTTTGATTTCTAGATTATTTTATTCGGAAGATATCATTCTTTCACCTTGATTCAGTTTTATCATCACTGAAACTACAACTTCTAAATACTCCAATATTTATTCTAAGCTTCTAATGTAATGTAATGAGAACTTGAACCGAATTATATTGATCGATAAGTTATTTTCTTATGTTGCTTATCTCTATTTGTTACATGATTAACAAGTATCATATCAAAGTGAAATGCCTTGGTAACAAATTTTTCAAATAAAAGATTATAGAATAACAAAACTATTCATGTTTTCATTGATTCATTTATTAACAGTTCGTAAAAATAACAGTTAAAATATGAGAGGGGGGAGAACAGTGGGGTTTTTTTTAATTTTTTAAAAAAACAGTAACCCCCCCCCAGTTATGCTTGTTTTAACTAAATAAAAAAAAGAAAACCTATCTATTTAATATATATGATGCAAAAAAAAAATAATAACCGAGGCAACAAAAGGAAATAGAACTCGATTGTTAACTAAGTATAATCAATACAGAGAAATAAGAAAAACCATACTACCATAGAATGTAGAAGAGAAAAAACAATCTAAATATGTGTACATAATTTTTAAACTAAAATTGATTGTACATAATGATTTGATGTCAATGGACAGTGTACGTTATGTTGTTACTGACACATATATATATATATTTCAAAGGTGAAGCAAAGCATCAATAGAAATGTAGTGGTGTAAATAACTTCTCAATGCAATTTTGTTAACATAGAAGAAAAAAAAAGTCAAGTGACGATGACAATAACAGAAATAAACAACTGAAATGCATTTTATTAATGACGATAATATGATTATGCTAATGTAGGCAATTTGTTATTAGTGACCGCTGTCGATGTGGATGATGTAATTGCAGGGATGGTGGTAGTGGGGATAGTAGCGTTGATTGTTGTTGTTGCTTTCATTGCAACATGTTCGAAACGACCTAATTGCAATGGACTAGAACATTCAGTTTCTAAGCTATTATCATCAATATTATTATGAGTAGTATATGAGTTCATTGTTACTTCATCCGTGGAATATGGATGCCATACAGTTCCCCAATGCGGTGGTTTACGTACAGCTCGTTTTCTATTGGCATTATTTAAAAGATCAGGATCAACTTCATTCATTACTCTGTGTAAAAAAGACAGGTAAGTACGAAATTATTGATCAAAGATGAGAGAAAAGTTAACGAGAGATGTGATAAATCGGATCGATGAATAAAGTGGGACAAAATACGAAGTTATTCGAGTATTAAGACGATTGGTAGCTTACTTAGTACTGGAAAAGACACGGTTTTTCAACAAATCCCAGGTTTGTAATACCTCTAAACCTAATTTGATCTACATAATTGGCTATTATTCACACTAACCTTTGCACAGAACTACCAAAAAACAAAAGAATTGAATTAAAGAAGATTTGAATCAGGAATTGGTGCACGGTTATAGCTATAGAAATCAATCGATTCAAGCTTGATCTTTTTTGTATTTGTCAAATAGATATATATGTTTAACATTTATACCATAAATTATTACCTCCCGAATGCCTTGGTACGGCAGAGGAAGAGGAGAGTCAGCTCTCCCTCTTCAAATGCTCTCATATGGCCACGCGTATACAGCCACTACTAAGGATGTCCTACTCACTGCTTACCATTTCTTTAAAAAATACATTAAAAACTGAGAACATAAACCTACGCTCTGTATACATTCGTATTCAACTTAAAATGACAACAAAGTGAAAGTGTCAATATTTAATTTCTCAGTTTCAAGGAATTAAGATAAAAGTGAAAATCTTTAGTGTAATCAAAGAATCACCATTACGTAATTTACCATCCTCAATACAGAAACATACACATAGATAAACATAATTTATGTTGGGCGTTTTCAGAAGGGAGAAAATGAATAAGAAATGAGGGTTTTCATAAATGTGAACAATTACTTGTGCTGTGATTTATTCAAATCTTCTGGCCAATCCGATGTACACATTGTGTCCAGTTTAGCTTTCCATATACAACTTGATTCATCTTCAATTGGATTATTGGTTGAATCGAATATTGGTGGTGGATAAGCGGCAAAAGGAACACTGGCTAATGAGAAACGATAATCATCATATTCAATTGGTTTATAAGCAGTCAGAACTGCTTCACGTGCTGCTTCGGCTTTACGACGTTCAACAAGATTTAGAAAATCTGGACTGGATAAACTTTCTGGCGGTTGATGTATAGAAGCAGCTAACATTTGTAAGCCAACTGATTCAGCAGCTGTTTTACCAATTCCAGCTAAATTGCTTCCATACAGTGTATTAGTAGGATCATCGAAAATCATTAATGAATAATTTACTGGGATTGTAGTTTGTAGTGTATTTGTAGGCCATAAACTTTCCGGGAATGGAGAAGCGAATTCTGTAGGTAAAGGTGATGTATTAAATTGGCACGAATTTATATCATGAATATATAAGTGTAGTTGTCCAGCTTCAGTGGCGAAAACGACACAATTCCCACTAAATAATAAGGAAAATGAAATATGACAATAAATGCAACGTATTTCTGAACAATGTCTCTCATGGTTGACCAGAGGAGAAAATCAAACAATAAGCTCTATGTTTTGACGTATTTAGTCAGTATCAATCACTACATCGGTAACAATTTAGCCTTCAAAGATATCGGAAGGATTCCATTGAACTGACCTATTGTTTTCGTAATTCATCTCTTTACATATTAGCATAAGCCATAGGAACATACACAAATAAACCTAATCTTTGTGTACAGAAAACATTTGTACAACCTTTTTATTTGCGCTGGCCATCAACATAGTTACGCTTTTTCAGTCTTTAGCTTTAATTTCTTATTCTTACGTAATTTGTCCTAATATGACTTCATTATTTAATTTTCTATGAACATCTTTCATGAATATATATATGGACATAAATGGAAAAAAAATGATAGAAACTTACTTTTGTGATAGATCTGTGGCAACTAGTCGGTCGTAACCTAACCACAATTGACCTAAATCATTGGGGGAAAACGCAATTTTACCCCATTGTATAGTTTGAAAAGCACCAGTTTGTGAAGTAGCCAATAAACTATCACTGCAACCAGGTATAAATCGAACAAAACATGGATCTAGTGATGTAGAGAGTGGGACTTGAGCACGACCCGATCGAAGATCATATACCTAGATGCACAAATGCGTAATATAATACAACGATATCAATAACTACAAAGAGATACATAGTAATAGTAATAAAATAAGATAGAAAGAGGACAAACCACTTCTACCTGTCAGTCACATGACGATACAAACATTAATTCGATTTAAGGAGTGAGAAGCATTAATTTCTAATTGTATTGACTTTGGAGGACAGTATTTTAAGTTATGAAAAATCATTGATTACGACTTTATTAAAGTTGGATAGTAGTTAGTGGAAATCTGAACGCGCGTCTTGTTCTATTCAAGATACATCAGCTTTATGCGCTTGCATCCCAGTACTGTTAATGTTCACCTTGAGGATTGAACTCAGTGCGTAATTAGATGAAAAACGAGTGGTTTGGACTCCACTGACAATGAAAACCTGTGACTAATTGGTTGTATATAGTCAATACATTCAGGATGTACATATCCCAATAAAAATTGATCAACTTCAGTCTTTCGCATCAATAATGAGAAAATAACCCTTACAAATCGACTGTGACTGTTTAGTGGGGTCTTAAATACTTCATTCTCCCAAACAATGTGGATAAAAAGATAAAAACTTTATGGACTGATGGTATGTTACAATTTTAAATAATTTAGCATTCATTCAAGTGGATTTTGTAGGTCAATCAGTATAATAAATAAAAATGCTGTCTACCTCCAAATGAAAGGAGAGGTTAGAAAAGGTCGGCTCTGTAAGATAACACACCAAGCTATGGTCGCTCTGAGTTCATAATGCTGGCAATAATCTTTGAAAAACACAGAGCTGATACATCAGAAACTACTCCAACGGAAAATTCATGCTCGACTAATCTTAGGTGGCAGCAATATCCTGAGATTTGAAACCACACTCCTAGCTACATAGTACATTCAATACTCTTTGATCATCTTACAGGTCTTTCAACAAGAAATATTCTTCCACAGCATTAACGAACAAGGAATGTTAACAACTTGAAGAATTCTTACACTCGAATGCATCTTATTTATAAACAGAATGCATCTTATTTATAAACAGATTGCTTTCTGCTTGATAATATTTCTTCGATTTTAATTTTACCCTATCTTTTATATGTGAAGAGTGAAATGTCATTCCTGGTCTCCTCAAAATGTGCTTCATACGATATATATACCAAGAGATAATCTTGATCTATGTGAGTGGAGAACTTAAATGAAACACTTTGAAATAGAATTAATGGTTATTCATTAGGGCAATAATCAATTTTGCACAAAATCAAATTAAAATGCAAAATTTAAATAAAATGAAGATCATACTTTCAACAAGCGGTCCACACGTAATCCAGAATCACCGATACGTGACCATCCACAAGTGACTAATGTATGACTATTCGCATCAACTGTCATATCAGAGATTTCACCAGTATGCGCGTCTAATTCACGTACAATACCATGACTGGTACGCGAATCGATTATCATAACCTGAAGAGTATAATCCAAAAAAAAAGCGTCGGATACAAAATTTTGTTACAAAAAATGACAGAAATTTCAATGAATCGTAACGACTATACTACTGAGATTGTTTACAGTAGTCAACTTGTGAAAGAAATATATATTCAACTAAACCATTTCCGCTCCTAAAGTCACAGTTCGATGGAAAGGTTTGAGAAAAGGGGAAATATGAAACTCGGATAGTTATTGTGTGGTGAATCCACCGGTACACTTTTAAAGACTATTTATCAAATAATTTTTTTATGATACAGTCGGGACGCTAATGATATATATATATATATATATATATATATATCATTAGCGTCCCGACTGTATCATAAAAAATTATTTGATAAATAGTCTTTAAAAGTGTACCGGTGGATTCACCACACAATAACTATCCGAGTTTCATATTTCCCCTTTTCTCAAACCTTTCCATCGAACTGTGACTTTAGGAGCGGAAATGGTTTAGTTGAATATATATTTCTTTCACAAGTTGACTACTGTAAACAATCTCAGTAGTATAGTCGTTACGATTCATTGAAATTTCTGTCATTTTTTGTAACAAAATTTTGTATCCGACGCTTTTTTTTGGATTATACTCTTCAGGTTATGATAATCGATTCGCGTACCAGTCATGGTATTGTACGTGAATTAGACGCGCATACTGGTGAAATCTCTGATATGACAGTTGATGCGAATAGTCATACATTAGTCACTTGTGGATGGTCACGTATCGGTGATTCTGGATTACGTGTGGACCGCTTGTTGAAGTATGATCTTCATTTTATTTAAATTTTGCATTTTATTTTGATTTTGTGCAAAATTGATTATTGCCCTAATGAATAACCATTAATTCTATTTCAAAGTGTTTCATTTAAGTTCTCCACTCACATAGATCAAGATTATCTCTTGGTATATATATCGTATGAAGCACATTTTGAGGAGACCAGGAATGACATTTCACTCTTCACATATAAAAGATAGGGTAAAATTAAAATCGAAGAAATATTATCAAGCAGAAAGCAATCTGTTTATAAATAAGATGCATTCTGTTTATAAATAAGATGCATTCGAGTGTAAGAATTCTTCAAGTTGTTAACATTCCTTGTTCGTTAATGCTGTGGAAGAATATTTCTTGTTGAAAGACCTGTAAGATGATCAAAGAGTATTGAATGTACTATGTAGCTAGGAGTGTGGTTTCAAATCTCAGGATATTGCTGCCACCTAAGATTAGTCGAGCATGAATTTTCCGTTGGAGTAGTTTCTGATGTATCAGCTCTGTGTTTTTCAAAGATTATTGCCAGCATTATGAACTCAGAGCGACCATAGCTTGGTGTGTTATCTTACAGAGCCGACCTTTTCTAACCTCTCCTTTCATTTGGAGGTAGACAGCATTTTTATTTATTATACTGATTGACCTACAAAATCCACTGAATGAATGCTAAATTATTTAAAATTGTAACATACCATCAGTCCATAAAGTTTTTATCTTTTTATCCACATTGTTTGGGAGAATGAAGTATTTAAGACCCCACTAAACAGTCACAGTCGATTTGTAAGGGTTTTTTTCTCATTATTGATGCGAAAGACTGAAGTTGATCAATTTTTATTGGGATATGTACATCCTGAATGTATTGACTATATACAACCAATTAGTCACAGGTTTTCATTGTCAGTGGAGTCCAAACCACTCGTTTTTCATCTAATTACGCACTGAGTTCAATCCTCAAGGTGAACATTAACAGTACTGGGATGCAAGCGCATAAAGCTGATGTATCTTGAATAGAACAAGACGCGCGTTCAGATTTCCACTAACTACTATCCAACTTTAATAAAGTCGTAATCAATGATTTTTCATAACTTAAAATACTGTCCTCCAAAGTCAATACAATTAGAAATTAATGCTTCTCACTCCTTAAATCGAATTAATGTTTGTATCGTCATGTGACTGACAGGTAGAAGTGGTTTGTCCTCTTTCTATCTTATTTTATTACTATTACTATGTATCTCTTTGTAGTTATTGATATCGTTGTATTATATTACGCATTTGTGCATCTAGGTATATGATCTTCGATCGGGTCGTGCTCAAGTCCCACTCTCTACATCACTAGATCCATGTTTTGTTCGATTTATACCTGGTTGCAGTGATAGTTTATTGGCTACTTCACAAACTGGCGCACTTCAAACTATACAATAGGGTAATATAGCGTTTTCCCCTAATGATTTAGGTCAATTGTGGTTAGGTTACGACCGACTAGTTGCCACAGATCTATCACAAAAGTAAGTTTCTATCATTTTTTTTCCATTTATGTCCATATATATATTCATGAAAGATGTTCATAGAAAATTAAATAATGAAGTCATATTAGGACAAATTACGTAAGAATAAGAAATTAAAGCTAAAGACTGAAAAAGCGTAACTATGTTGATGGCCAGCGCAAATAAAAAGGTTGTACAAATGTTTTCTGTACACAAAGATTAGGTTTATTTGTGTATGTTCCTATGGCTTATGCTAATATGTAAAGAGATGAATTACGAAAACAATAGGTCAGTTCAATGGAATCCTTCCGATATCTTTGAAGGCTAAATTGTTACCGATGTAGTGATTGATACTGACTAAATACGTCAAAACATAGAGCTTATTGTTTGATTTTCTCCTCTGGTCAACCATGAGAGACATTGTTCAGAAATACGTTGCATTTATTGTCATATTTCATTTTCCTTATTATTTAGTGGGAATTGTGTCGTTTTCGCCACTGAAGCTGGACAACTACACTTATATATTCATGATATAAATTCGTGCCAATTTAATACATCACCTTTACCTACAGAATTCGCTTCTCCATTCCCGGAAAGTTTATGGCCTACAAATACACTACAAACTACAATCCCAGTAAATTATTCATTAATGATTTTCGATGATCCTACTAATACACTGTATGGAAGCAATTTAGCTGGAATTGGTAAAACAGCTGCTGAATCAGTTGGCTTACAAATGTTAGCTGCTTCTATACATCAACCGCCAGAAAGTTTATCCAGTCTAGATTTTCTAAATCTTGTTGAACGTCGTAAAGCCGAAGCAGCACGTGAAGCAGTTCTGACTGCTTTTAAACCAATTGAATATGATGATTATCGTTTCCCATTAGCCAGTGTTCCTTTTGCCGCTTATCCACCACCAATATTCGATTCAACCAATAATCCAATTGAAGATGAATCAAGTTGTATATGGAAAGCTAAACTGGACACAATGTGTACATCGGATTGGCCAGAAGATTTGAATAAATCACAGCACAGGTAATTGTTCACATTTATGAAAACCCCCATTTCTTATTCATTTTCTCCCTTCTGAAAACGCCCAACATAAATTATGTTTATCTATGTGTATGTTTCTGTATTGAGGATGGTAAATTACGTAATGGTGATTCTTTGATTACACTAAAGATTTTCACTTTTATCTTAATTCCTTGAAACTGAGAAATTAAATATTGACACTTTCACTTTGTTGTCATTTTAAGTTGAATACGAATGTATACAGAGCGTAGGTTTATGTTCTCAGTTTTTAATGTATTTTTTAAAGAAATGGTAAGCAGTGAGTAGGACATCCTTAGTAGTGGCTGTATACGCGTGGCCATATGAGAGCATTTGAAGAGGGAGAGCTGACTCTCCTCTTCCTCTGCCGTACCAAGGCATTCGGGAGGTAATAATTTATGGTATAAATGTTAAACATATATATCTATTTGCCAAATACAAAAATGATCAAGCTTGAATCGATTGATTTCTATAGCTATAACCGTGCACCAATTCCTGATTCAAATCTTCTTTAATTCAATTCTTTTGTTTTTTGGTAGTTCTGTGCAAAGGTTAGTGTGAATAATAGCCAATTATGTAGATCAAATTAGGTTTAGAGGTATTACAAACCTGAGACTTGTTGAAAACCGTGTCTTTTCCAGTACTAAGTAAGCTACCAATCGTCTTAATACTCGAATAACTTCGTATTTTGTCCCACTTTATTCATCGATCCGATTTATCACATCTCTCGTTAACTTTTCTCTCATCTTTGATCAATAATTTCGTACTTACCTGTCTTTTTTACACAGAGTAATGAATGAAGTTGATCCTGATCTTTTAAATAATGCCAATAGAAAACGAGCTGTACGTAAACCACCGCATTGGGGAACTGTATGGCATCCATATTCCACGGATGAAGTAACAATGAACTCATATACTACTCATAATAATATTGATGATAATAGCTTAGAAACTGAATGTTCTAGTCCATTGCAATTAGGTCGTTTCGAACATGTTGCAATGAAAGCAACAACAACAATCAACGCTACTATCCCCACTACCACCATCCCTGCAATTACATCATCCACATCGACAGCGGTCACTAATAACAAATTGCCTACATTAGCATAATCATATTATCGTCATTAATAAAATGCATTTCAGTTGTTTATTTCTGTTATTGTCATCGTCACTTGACTTTTTTTTTCTTCTATGTTAACAAAATTGCATTGAGAAGTTATTTACACCTCTACATTTCTATTGATGCTTTGCTTCACCTTTGAAATATATATATATATGTGTCAGTAACAACATAACGTACACTGTCCATTGACATCAAATCATTATGTACAATCAATTTTAGTTTAAAAATTATGTACACATATTTAGATTGTTTTTTCTCTTCTACATTCTATGGTAGTATGGTTTTTCTTATTTCTCTGTATTGATTATACTTAGTTAACAATCGAGTTCTATTTCCTTTTGTTGCCTCGGTTATTATTTTTTTTTTGCATCATATATATTAAATAGATAGGTGTTCTTTTTTTTATTTAGTTAAAACCAGCATAACTGGGGGGGGGTTACTGTTTTTTTAAAAAATTAAAAAAAACCCCACTGTTCTCCCCCCTCTCATATTTTAACTGTTATTTTTACGAACTGTTAATAAATGAATCAATGAAATCATGAATAGTTTTGTTATT